AAACCTCACAGACCTGGAACACCTATTAAGGAAGATCAAAGAGGAAAGGGCAAAGGCAAGCTTAATATTGAACATAAAGAAAACAAAAATAATGACCTTCACAAGTTCAACCTAGACAATGAACAAACAGAAATAGTAAAAGAATTCACATACCTGGGATCAAACATTGATAGAAATGGGGACTGCAGTCAGGAAATCAGAAGAAGATTAAGGATGGGGAGAGTGGCTATGAAAGAACTAGAAAAGATTCTAAAATGCAGTTATACAACTCAGAACAAAAGTTAGAATCATACAAGCCATTGTATTCCCTATTACCATGTATGGATGTGAAAGCTGGATAGAAGAAAGATGATAGGAAGAAAAGCAATGCATTCGAGATGTGGTGCTGGAGAAAAGTGCTGAGGATCCCGTGGACAGCCAAAAAGGCAAACAAATGGGTCGTGGAACAGATCAAACTGGAAACCTCCCTGGAAGCCAAGATGAGCAAACTGAGACTGTCATACTTCAGACACATCATGAGAAGAAAGGACTCATTGGAAAAGACAATCATGCTGGGAAATGTGGAGAGAAGCAGGAAGAGAGAGGGGTCACATGCTAGATGGATGGACTCTATTAAGGAGGTCACGGGTATTAAGGGGTTGCAGGAATTAAGCAGAGCAGTGGAGGACAGGGGGTCTTGGAGATGTCTCATCCATAGGGTCTCCATGGGCTGAGATCGACTTGAGGGCAGTTAATAACAAAACTAGATCCTGTTGGGTCTTGGAAACTAATCAGGGTCAGTCCCGCTTAGTACTTGGATGGGAGATCGCCAATGAACACCAGATGCTCTATTAAAGAGGAGAGAAGTGTCGAAACCACCTCTGAGGATTCCTTGTCTAAGAAAATCCTATGAAATTCATGGGGCTGCCATAAACTGACAGGTGACGTGAAGGCAATACACCCACACATTTGTGAGTAGAGGTTAGCAAAGCCCACCTTTGCCATTTAGCCTTTAAATGCCTTCCTTAATGGCTGTGTAGGAGAGGGAATATAAGCAGGCATTGCTTGTTTCCTGGTTGTGTGACAAGCAGTTCCCTCTGAAACTCTCATCTGCATGCCATTAAAGGCAAAGGAACCATCTCCAGTTTTCAGTGTGGCAAACCTACCTCTAAGTGTAACCATGACTCAAGTTTCAATAGGATTTGTTTGCTCCCACATTCCTCTGTTATTTCCCATTGACTGTTTTATTTAATTTTCTTTATTTAAATTATTTTTATATCACTTAATAGGATACCAGGTCAGCAAACAAAGCATGGTGTTTTACAATCTAGGTTTCTTGAGAGCAGGAATTGGTATATCTGTGCAATCTTGTTTTCACATTGAGTGTTTTGGAATGAATTTTTTTTTAAAAATTCTTCAATTTGGAGGCTGTCAAAGTTTGTGGTGGTCATGTACTGCTTTTTGTTATTTATTCAGGTAATCATTATGGTCAGCCTCCTCAAATTATCCTTGGGCAGTTTCCTTCAAAATGTGAAATTAAACTAAAATACAGAACAATGGCTAATTTGACTGAAGTTAGGAACAAACTGTAAGTACTGTCATTACTCCTGACTGTAAAAGATACTTTTTATAATGAAAAAAATGCTTCATTATGAATTCTCATTGCTAACATTCTCAAAAATAATGACAACTTGAGACCCACAATGGATTTCTTTCAATACAAGATATTGCAGAAGAGATTAGTATTACAGAAGTGGTACTAACAAAATGTGGCTCATCGCAAAGAAACATAAGTGTTCCTAAATTAAAGTCCTGTAAGAGACCCACATCTTGTGACAGCAAATTCCATTGATTTATTATGCATTGTCTGAAGTTCCCTGGGTATTGTTGATCAATTTCAGTGTGATACAAAGTTCAGTTTTGAGAAGTAAACTTCTCTTTGCATTTGCATTTGATTCAAGCATCCACAGCTTGAAAATATTCAAATATTCAAAACAATTGTAAAGAAACCTTGATTTTGCCATTTTTATAAGGGGCATGATTTTATTATCCATTTTATTTAATAGGATTTGAACATCCACAGATTTTGGTATCCATGAGGGGTAACAGAACCCCAGCGCAAACCAAGGGCCCACTGTAGATTATAACTTTTTTTTATTATATTATTCATTAGTTTTAATCTCTCTTTTTAAAATAAAAAGCAAAAGCCCTAAATACTGGAATTTTTAAAAATATAGCTTTAGACTATATTTCAGAGGAAGGCAATGGCAAACAGCCTCTGAGTATTCCTTGCCTAAGAAAACCCCATGAAATTCATAGAGTTGCTATAAGTCTCACACACACACAATGGGCTGAGAAGAAGAATAACCAGGTGACATCCTACTATAGCTTGAATGCTTCCACTTTGTGAATAGTGTGATACAGGCTAAATACTAAAAATTGTATAGGGTTTTACCAAACACCCCTTTTCTACAAGCAAAACTTCTTGTTGCACATGTTCATTGTTTGCTTGTTGATCCCAAATGTATTTTAAACCACCTGATTTAATAAAACTTTTGATGTTTAGGTCATTTGCCAAACAACCATACAGCACCTGGCAAACTACAGTGGATCCAAAGGAGATGAGAAAATTCCAACTATTGGCACATAAATGGTGGGATGAGCAAGGCCAATATGCAGCCCTTCATTCTATGAATGATATTAGAGTGCCTTTTATCAGGTAATCTTTTAAAATGTGCCTGTCTTTAAAAACTTTGGCCAGGAATCTGAAATACTAGAAAGAGTTAAATTTTGGAATCGAAGCACCACTTTGCTACTGTTGTTAAGCTTAAACTCTGATTGAACAGAAAGTTAAGATTTTTTTTAAAAATTCAGAGACATAGCTGTGTTATTCTTAAGTAAGCAGTATGCAAAGGGATCTTGCAGCACCTTTGAGGCTAATGGTGCAAAAGAAGTTGTAGCATAAGCTTTTGTAGACTTAGGGCCTTTGCAGACTGCCAGAAATAGTGCACA